AAGCATGTCCAGTTTTGCTTTTATTTAAGCCAATATTTTTTTAGTGAAGAAAAAAATTAAAAACTCATAAATACCAATCCTTAGACATAAGAGTACATACCCTGCGGTTCATCAAAGCTTGGGGTACATCACCTTCAACTATTCTCTGAGCAAGCCTGTTGCATAGCACAAATACAAGGGGAAAGGATTACATCCACATCAATTAATAAAGTCATCATTTCTCCCTATGTAAATGTATCAAAAAAAAAAACGCAGGAATTCAAATATTATTTTTACCCTTCAGATATGGCAGTTTTCCCGACACCAGGTTCACCAATTAAGACTGGATTGTTCTTAGTCCTCCTAGACAATATTTGTATACATCTCCTTATCTCATCATCCCTTCCAATAACTGGATCAAGCTTCCCTTCGCGTGCCATGGCTGTCAAATCCTTACCATATTTCTCCAAGGCTTCATACTTACCCTCGGGGTCTGAAAAATTCATTGTGCAACAAAGTATGATCACCACACAGCTTGGCACAAATTAAATGAGAATAATAATAAAGCAATTTTGAAGCCTTGTTAGGCACACATGAAATCTTAACATTTAGAGATAGACTATTTAGTTTTATTTAAACAATTGAAGACTATTAAAAGAGAAATCATTCAACAAAATACCGCATAAAAGATAATCAAGTATGATTACAAACCTTTTCCAAGTAGTTTAGCAAAACAAACTAAAGCATCCAGGGATATAAAAATCAGATATAAATAAAAGAATATCAATTGATGCTTACAACCACATAAGCGTCGCATAGTGTCTTGTTGTGCTAACATTAGTAGATAACCACTGATGCATCTATGTTATTTTAAGCAATTATGCCAAATGGCCTAGTGAATACAAAAGTCATCTCATTCAATAGTACTAGGGGTGTCAAAACAGGTCCGCAGGTCAGGTTCGGGTCGAATCCGGATTGACCTGGACTTAAACTGGTTGACCCTAACCCAACCAGTTTTTTTGTAAACGGGTCAAAAAATTCAACCCGGACACAACCCGCACGGGTTGCCGGGTTGACCCGACATGACCCGCGGACCCGCTCTATTTTGAATTCGCAGTCGAGGCTGGCATGGCGGGTTAGGACTAAGGAGAGGCTGGCATGGCGGGTTAGGACTAAGGTGAGGCTGGTGCATTTCACGAGGCATGGGGAGTCACAAGCCGCCCAGCCTTTGTTTGGCAAGACGAGATAGATAAAGAGAAAGGACCAAAGGAGCTATGCAGAGAAGCAATGATTGACAGTTCAAGGGAGAGTTGTTTGAAGAAGGATGAGAAAGAGAGAGCACGATGCAAGCAAGCGGAGGATGAGAAAGAGAGCGCAGGGTGGAGAAGGATAGGGAATTGAAAAACCGAAGAGGAATCAACTGTCGTTGTTGCTTAGTGCTCACAGTACTCTATTTCTCATCAATGCGTGATGGCTAGAGGTTGGCTTTTAGCTAGGGACTTGATGCTTTTCTTTTTTTGCTTTTTGAAGTTGGGTTTCTGCTATTGTGAAGGGTATGAGATCAGAGTTATGCTTTGCAGATATATTCTTATAGATAAGCAAGTTGCAGATTGCGTTATTTCATTTAGCCTTTGTTTATTTGTTATTTACCTTTCTTCCATTCCTCTAGTGAAGGGTATGAGATCAGTGTTATGCTTTTCTTATGGTGTTATGTTTTGCGGATATATTCAAGGAGGCAAAGATGACCAAGTCTCTCAGATTTCAGGTCAAAGTCAGGTTAGTGAGTTGACCCGGCCCTGACCTGATTTTCCAAATGGCTCAAAAACTGCAACTCAAACTCGAACCGTTTGTTAAACGGGTTGATACGAATCTGAATTTTCCACGTCGGGTTCGGATCGGGTCAATAATTGACACCTCTAAATAGTACCACCAACATTGACAATAGGCAGCAATGAACACAACATTTTAGAATGCATAAATGAACCACAATATTGTCATGAAATTTAGAGATGGGCAGCTCGTCAAGCTCAAATACAGGTTTTGTAAAGGGCATTGGAATGCCTACAACAATGACAGGAAAACATATGAAAAAACCAAATATATGAAAAATGTCTAGCGAGCACACACCATTACATATATAATACTTTCAATATGCATTTCTTAGCTCGTGAGTTAAACTTACACTTCTTAACATGAGCATAAATATGGCGATCAAAGATCCTTGAAATAGAGAATAATCTGTAGGATGACACTTTATCAGGAGTCTTCAAAGCAATTATTGTAAATGGAGATATGCATGTCTAATATCATGCAGTTTTAACAACCTTCGCTTCCCACAAGTTATATTACATTTGGTTATCGAGAAAAGGAAAAAAATGATCTCCAACTATATTAAATGACCATTTTGGTCTCTCAAGTCTTGAAAAAGAATCAAAATATTAGAAATGACATTATGTGAATTTGACTCATAATATGACAGCAAATCTATCCCACAGAGGCTTGATGTTGTTTTTGTTGTTTGATTTTCACTAGAAAATTTTGGTTCAAAGTTTAGGAAATCTATTCATCTCCTGCTTAATTTTTAGAAAGGGAATTTGAGAAGTGCATGTATATTTCTCTTATTTTGACTCCACTAACTTTTGATAGTATGGCTCCCCATCTTTGCGGATATAGATCATTCTTGTTCAAACCACACAAATTTAGTGTTCTTTTATCTATGTTGTTTTAGTTGTTCCCTATACATTTTGCGTGGTGTTATTATTCAATAGTTCATAAGTTAATCATGTCTCTTTTGTGCTGCCAAGTGTAGCATAGGTCTTCTCTCATAATAGTTGGTTAACATTTTTTTCCCTTTAATGAAAAGAAAAAATAGCAATCGTATCATTGATGCAATAAATAAAAGGAATGAGAAAACAAAATTTCTTCAACACTAACATATCATGTATAATAACACTCAAAACATTAAATCCAAGGCGTATAGTTATTTGATTTATTTCAGGCAATTAAATTATGAATATTGATAGAAAGTGATATGAAAAACAAGTTTCTTTGAAAAAAAAAACAGACAGTTATTTTTCCTAAATTTCATAAACCATGCAAAAAATTGTTAAACAATACATTGCTGCTATCTAAGACACTAGGGCTTCCTTTGGGATGACTTTTTTACTGCTTTGTAAAGCAACTTTCTAGCACAAAAATATCTTGAACTAAATTTTTTTTTTATAAAAAAACTACTTTAGAAAGCATTAAGAAAGCTGCACCAAATGAGGCCTAAGACATCCTTCATAATTAGTTCCGTTTATGGGCTATTGGTTATAAAATAACTCACAAATCTATATGCAAGAGAAGGGAAGCAAAACTTTAGCATACCTTGGTCAATAACAGTTTGACGTCCCCTTATAGCTTGAATGGCAGATTTCAACATTGGTAGAGAAACCTTAAAGTCCTTATAGAGATGTTTTCCAAACCTTTTGTCTTCTACAAAACCAAGCACTAAATGCTCAACAGACACAAAGGAGTCTCCATACTCTTTCTTGAACTCCCTAGCTCTTTGAATCAAAGATTCCAAGTCCCTTCCCAACATGGAACCAGCTGACTCACCGAGGACCTGCAATAGTTCAAATACGTCAATATCCTTAAGCTTTTTCAGAGTAAAAAGGTGGAATATGCAGGGAAGCGTGGCAATATATATATTTTTTCTTTGGTTTGTTTGCATTAAGTTTATATAGACATATTAACTACATGAAAATTCTGTGTTATCTTAAGATTTTGCACTTTTAGAGATAAGAAGTACAAGCAAAAGTAAAATCAACCAAAAGCGTCCTATCGATGCCTAATCCGTAGAACAGAAGAGTAAGGAGAATAAAACCGCCAGTGCAAAAATGCATGACTAAAGCTATCATCAATTCCCACTAGTAAAACAGTGGAATAGGAAAGGCAGAATGTTCAGCTACAAGAATTATTAATAAAAAATTAACCTTTGGTTGCCTCTGGATGTAACTATCCGTGGCTTCAAGAAGGCGAGTGTTATCAACTCCAGCCTTGGAGAAAATCCGGCGAGCTAGACCGTTCTTCTGCTCCAACAACGCCTTCATTAAATGCTCGGTCTCCACAATCTGATGCTTACTCTCCTTCGCAACCTCCGGCGATGAAACAATCCCCTGCCATGCCATCTCTGTAAACTCCTGCTGAGTAATCTGACAAAAAAATAGCAAAAACGCCAATCATGATTTCGTCTTTCTGTCATATTCAACAAATTAGACTGAAAAATGAACAAATAAGTCCATAACTACCCTCCCATCTTTCGATGAGGCATCGCATCTCACGCCGCGCTGCCTGTTGCCGCCAGTGGAAAACCTCCCCAATCTTTTCGCAACAAAGATATCGTCTTTCACTAGGGTTTCCGACCACTTGAGTGGATTTAGAGTTTTCATCGACTTAGAGGGAATTGTGAAGGCGGAAGAAAAGGTAATTCGACGGAGACTCCTCGGCAGAGGAGGTGGTAGGCGGAGATCGTGGGCATGGAGTGCTGAAGCCATCGGTTGCAACAAAGACGGCGGTTTGTTTCTCTTTCCGGCAAGTAGCGCTGTGATATGCTAAGATTGGAGAGGTGCGGCGGTAGTATTATCGGCAAAAGGAGTGAAGGAGCGAGTTGTTCCAGAAGACGAGAGAAAGAAAGTACGCGAAGCTTGTGGAAAGCGGTAGGAATAGAGTATGCGCATTGCTGGAATAATGACAAAAAATTTTAGAAAAGATTGTGTTAGAATGTTTTAATATAAATTTTATTTGAAATTGTTAGAGTTTGGTGTAGTTGTCAATAAAAATGAAATGAAGAGGAAAAAAAAATAGAAATATATTATTTTCAATAGAGCTAGGGTTTTCATGCAGCTCTATTTATGAGAACTTCTAATTTTTCTAGCTCTCTCTTTACTTCTCAATATCGACCTTCTTATTTTTGATTTCTTCTTCTTTTTTAGGCCATTTGGCTTGAACCTCATTTTGTGAGATGTCATGGATTCCGTTGACTTCCTTTCTTTTCAAGTTATAAATCTCTTCTTCCTTTTTTTGAAACATTTAGGTCAATTAAGGCGGATTTACACACACATCGCATACATAAGACTCGAACCCAAAACTTCTTAATTGGTAGCCTTAGCTTCGAACCAACATACCAAGATGAGTTGTGTCTGCCATTTTTTCTAGCACTCTTTTTCAATAATCTTCCTCTTCACACTCTCATGCATCTCTAAACTAGAAGGATTTGCTCATAGTAAGTGTTCTAAATATTTCAAACTTCAACAAAAACTATGTCTAACACTTGGAGCAAAAAGTATATTTATCATATAAGGGGGTAGATGAAGGAGAAAAATATTGGGATTTGACATTAGTTGAGTATGCAATCAGACAGCAGGTCTTGTACAATAATCTTCTCCAAGTTACTCATAACCTATGTAAACTAAAATCCATTTTTGAATACCTGCCTCTTGAGAATAATTTCTTCCTTTTTAAGTTTACTTTTGTTATAGACTTTGAAATTATGAGAAATGGGAGCCCTTGATTCATTAATGACAGGCCCTTTATCTTTAAAAAAATAGACACCATTGAAGGAAGATTTTAAAGAATTCTCAAATTTCCACAAAATCTATACTTAAAGGATATCGTTACCCTAAACCCTATATATATGCGTCCATTAATAGCATCAATGGAGTTAAGAAAAACTAACTTATTATATTTAGTTCAGACTAAACAATTTGAGCAAATAAAAAACTAAACAAAATATGGAAGTAAAGACATGTAGTATCAATTATCTTTTGGTTCAAAAGAACTCGATTGAAGTTCAATTTGCTTGATATGTCCATCATTAGAAGGTTGGAAAGAATAAATGTGCTAGAAATTAAAGATCAGTAAAACAACTAGTGTAATAATCGTATTCTGACCATGGTAAATAATTTTTATGAGTCATTATAACTCCAAATTACAAATCATCTGCACCATAATATTTTACTTACATAACTTTTTAGTAATTTTTGGGCACCGGTGAAAATTCTTAAGAAATTGGTACCTATCGGTACAAGTGAGGATTTCGGAAACGTCATGTGTCCGTTTTACTAACCGATTTCACTGATATTTTTTAAATAAAATAATTTATTTTATGAAAATTTTTCTTTAAATTTTTGAAGCCCTATAATGATTATTTGAATTTCTAATAAAAGAAATTGATTTAATTATAAATATAATATTAAATTATTATTTTTAATTAAAATATCTAAAGTCGCTACATCGTTTTAAAGAATTTCCCTTCTCCTTTTCAGCAACAAAGAGTTCTTTAGGGATTTTAGAGAAAAAATATAAGAGAGAGAAAAAGAAAACCTATATTTGGATGTGGCAGAGCAATTTTTGTTAGTCGAGCCAATTGGAAGATTTACTCATCCCATTGTAACGAACATTTACCTTATTTTTTATTTTAAAGATTTTATATTTTTGATATTTTTTTCTCAAATTTGTGTTTCTATTGCTAAAAAATGTGAAGAATTTTGTATTGATAAAATTTTCAACATGTAACTTTTTATATGTTATAGTGATTGATATTATGAATATTTTGAGTATTTATTTGAAATTTTTCACTTGTTCATTTTTAAAATACAGTAATTTTTTATCTGCTCAGAAATTTATTTTAACGTCTGAAAATAGTGTTTCAGTTCAACTAATTAAAACTTCAAAATATTCTTTTATGCAATATTTGATAATTTGATTAAATTGTAAAAATGTGAATGTTATTTAATATGATTTTTGTTGTATACCGTTAAGACATTTTGACATTTTATGAATTAAGCTCAATTCTGCTTTATTTATTACAATACATTGAAAATGAATGTGAATATGCGACGACTCTATTTATCGAGCCAACAGTTTACTAATACAATACTGAAAAATACCGTGATAATCAAGACTTCTTACTTGTTTATTGTGGCTACTCAAATGCATTTTCTTGAGAAATTGTTCTTGTACGCATTTTATTGTGGCTCTTTATTAATATTTATTAATGGTGTCTTGCAAAATTTGGTGCTCCTATGAGCTAACTGTATAATGTCGTGAATTTGAAATTGATGACCATATGGTAAGATTTATTTGATGTTGAATAATATCCTCAAGAATAGGGGCGGATGCAGTATGGGGCTCTGGGGGCACAAGCCCCCGAGCAATTATTAGGTCCTTTTACTGGATGTAGAAGAAGGTTCGGTTTTAGCCAAAAATAGGTAAAAAGTGCAAATACCGAGTTTTTTGAAAAACTCGGTATTTTTTCAAAAAACTCGGTATTTGTACTTTTTTAGGCAAAACTGAACCTTCCTCTAGGTCCTTGCACCGGACCAAATAAAAACTCCAAGCCCCCACTGACTGCATTATTAATATCAAATTATAAATTAAATCAAAATTGTTATTATTATTATTATTATTTTTCATCCCAAATCACAATCCCGCTGCTCTCGCCTGGCTTTTCATGGGTGAATGGACGACCTTCGGCCTTCGCGGAAGGCTTCTAAGTTCTAACTACGCAGGAAGTAATTACTCTCTCTCTTTCCAATGTTGGCTCACACAAAGAAAATCAATGCTATTCAATTCTGGACCGCCTCTCTCTCTCTCTCTCTCTAAATCTCTATCCCCCCTTGAGATTTAAACCGTGAATAAAGCCCCTAAAACTACGGCCTCGATGAAGAGAAAGTAGATTTGAAGGGGAACACAGCAACATACCTTGATCTCGGAAACCCTAACGTCGAGCGTGCGAGTGGGATAGGAGGAAATAGGGAGCTTGTGGAAGAAGGTGAAGGTAGCCTTGGGGTTGAGCACGTGCGTTTTTGTGCCGATAGTTCAGGAGGAAAATCCTTCAGTTGGAAACGGGCAAAAAATCGCAAGCATCTACCGGAGGTCTTTTTCTGGTCGTAATTCTTGCTTGGATTACGGCTTGTAGATGCCGATTAAGCCGACTCCAAACTCTTCCATACGTCTGATGTCTAATCTGGTAGCATATCTTGGCAGTAAAATCTTTTTATCTTTTCATGATTGTGGTTGATTTTTTTGGAGAAAATTTTTGGCTTTTTTTTTTTTTTTTTTTTTTTGGTACCAATGAGCAATTTATTCACATTTATTACTATATTAGGATAGAAAATATTGTTTCAGATTTATTAAATTTAGGAATAAAAGTGAAAACTGTTTCAACAATGTTTGCTTACTTTTAGTAAATTGTTTGAGTATTCATTTATGGATCTATTTTATGTGAGAAATTTTTTATCACGTTAATGATTTGTGCCTCCACTTGAAAAAAATCCTGGCTCCGCCCCTGCTCAAGAAGGACTTTAGTCAACAACTCCATAGCAAAGATGTCTTCATATCATTTTAAGAGAGACTTAATTTCAGTGGGAAGGAGAGTCTCAACAATATTTTGCTCAGCAAATAGAATGGCAAGCATATAAGACTGTCCCTTATAAGCCCCTAGCAATTCCCATCCGACTTCACCAGTAAAGGCAGCATGAGCATTTTCTTGCTTCTTGGTTAGTAGAGGTGATGACAACATTTAAATTTCTCATTCTTCACTCAAACAGATAGGCATTGGGGCAAGCATCATTTTAAACGCCCATGTCAACTTGCCAATGGCGTCCCCATATGAGGTAACAAACATCCATATAATGAAATAAGTGAGAACTTCACAACTTATATTTGAACCCATGTAACATTTCACCTTACTGTCCTTACAGTTGTTGTTGATCGGAACCCCAACCACCTTTTAACGAGAGATTATTATGTGCGGTGTGAGGTGTCCGGATTGCCCGGAGGCGAATTCGGACCCGCCATGTCACCTAGATGCATTGGCCCTGGGTGACATGGCGCGTCCGGATTCGCCTCCGAATGAATCCGTACGCCACAGGTAATAATTTTCCCCTTTTAACCCAGCTAAATTTATACAAATGTGAATGTTTACCACCATTTTCTAAAAGAAGTTCTCACACTTTTTTGCCAAATAGTGCATTGCGCCAAAGATCATATCATTTTATGCTGCTTTTTGGTTGTTTAGGAGTGAGGGATATTTTCTTAAGGAAGTAAGAAAGGAATTATCTATCATCTCCTTGCAAGTCTTTGACACCTTTGGCTGAGAACAAAACATCTAAAGCACTTATTTCCTCCTGATATCCATCCATCAGATATTATTGCTTCATGTTCCAGCCTCTATTAGAGCGGTGAGTAGGGATTGATCTATTGTACATATTTTTTCTTTGCCCGCTTGGTTTTCTTGGGTCCTTCGAATAAGCCACATTTGTTGGCTCAGCTTGTGGTGCGGATTGGCTTAGGGATTGAAGGGTCCTCTCTTTCAAAGTGGGAAGAATAACTTTGGCCACTTTATTGCTAAGATTTAACTCAGTTTTGTTTGTTGGTTGGAAGCTATGGCTATTAATCCAGAAATTTTGGTTCAAGTTTTGTGTATGTGATGTGTGTGTGAGTTTGCCTTAATTGCCTAAATGTCCAAAAAAAAAAAAAAACCTTTATAGCTAAGTGTAGGGAATTTTTGCTTGCAATTTGAGCTGTAGAGAGTTTGATTGTGGTTTTGATTAAGATCCCTCGACCGTAGTCATCTGACTATGGTCTGCCAACAACCATTGCCCGACTGAGTTTTAACGACCACTTTCTTTTGATCATCATTGTCATATCTTCAACAATTGTCTCAAGACTATAATCTCTTGAGCACCACCACCGATTATAATCCTCCGACCATCACTCTTATATGATTCTTCGATCATTATCATTTAACTATAGTCCTCCAACCACGATCCTCTAACAACCATCATTCAGCTACGTTCATATGATCATCATTTCTTGACTACAATCCTCTAACTACCGTTGACTAATTACACTGACATTCATTTGATTTTGTCATTTGTCACTGCCAATGTCTTTTACACACACTGCTGCAAGTCCACCCCAAAATCTAACTCCTAATCAAAATTTATGCTAGGCTTTGTAGTCTTTAATCTCTCCACCAAAAGAGAATGCCCAAACATTACACTGACATTCATTTGATTTTGTCATTTGTCACTGCCAATGTCTTTTACACACACTGCTGCAAGTCCACCCCAAAATCTAACTCCTAATCAAAATTTATGCTAGGCTTTGTAGTCTTTAATCTCTCCACCAAAAGAGAATGCCCAAACATCTCTTGAGGATAATTGTCATGTCGCAAGATGCTATCAACGGTTTCACCGATTACGAGGATGTACATAATTTTTTATTGATAATAATATATATTAGTGGAATCATTTCAATTGGGTAAGACCCAATATTTTTTTTCAAATTTTTCACATAAAAGCAAAAAAATCTTTAATATTTTCATTAAAGGGCCTACATAATTATGAATTACTTAAAGATTTGTTTGGGACGGCTACAACTTTTTATAAAAATGATTATAGTTCCTATCGAGAAAAAAACATTTCTTAAAACTATGCAGAAATCAGCTTTCTGGCATAAATGCTTTTTGAAAACAATGAAAAAATATTGGTCAAATAGAAATTTAAGTTATTATCTAAAAATCAAAGCAATAAAAAAGACATCCCTAAATTTTTTTTTTTTTTTTTAATATTTTTTAGCAAAGTAAGCCTAAGTAACCAAAAAGGAACAAATTTTTAAGCTAACATTACAGAATTTTAACTACTATAATACGTCTCGTTTTAGGTAAGCAACGGGTTCAACTAATTTCAAAGAGGACTGTGCTTCTTTCACGCACGAAAGGAATGTGGGCCGTTATTTTTATTAAATTTGATATATACTTTATTCACATATAATTTAAATAAAAAAATCATAACCAAAGATAAAAGATTTTGAGTTAGAACTTTATTTATATGATATGTGTGAATTTTATTTAATTAATCTAAATATTTAAAAAAAAAAAGAGAACTTAAAAATAAAAAATTTAAAATAAAGTTCTTTGAAAATAAAATTACCTTGCTATTTTAAAACTTCGAGAAATTAAGTTGTTTGTCAAATCATGTAATAACGGAAACGCAATAGTCGGGGGTCTATAGTTTGTCAACAAAATGCGAGCCCTCATTTATGATAATGACAGCTCGCCCACCAGTTTCCCACGCCACTCAGCTCCATAAGCGCCGAATCTCACTGTTTCAACACCGACAATGGCATCTCATTCCTTGCGGGATGAATTTCTTATCTTGAGCGGTGAGCAGTTGAAGAATTGCCGATGTCGACTGTAAAGGTGGCTGCTTTTTGTTGATCTACCGCTTTCAACACCGACAATGGCATCTCATTCCTTGCGGGATGAATTTCTTATCTTGAGCGGTGAGCAGTTGAAGAATTGCCGATGTCGACTGTAAAGGTGGCTGCTTTTTGTTGATCTACCGCAATTTCTTTTTTCTTGATGTGGTTCACCTGTGAAATGCCTTTTGTGGAGGAAATTTTTGATATTCTGAGTTCTATTTTGGCTGCTATTTGTTTAGTTAGAGTGTTTTGTTTTCAATGCTTGTTGTTTTGTAGTTGGAGCCCTGGTTGGATTTGGTCTGCTAACTAATGAAAAAAAAAAAGAGTTTTTTTACCCCTGAAGCCTCTGTCGTTGCATCTGTGTTTATTTGAAGTAAAAAAAAGGTTTGTTTCACTTTATAAAGAACAGCATTTCTTAGAGGAATTTCCTGGTTTGTTTCGTATGAGCCTCCATTTAGAATGTAACGGGAAGATATCTTATTATGAGTCCGGATGCACCGTGCTTAACAGCACATTAGAAGATCTAAGGTCAAGGTGGCATGCCTAGCTTATTTTGATGTTATCTTCTCTTAGTTCTTCAAGGGAGAAAGGAGGACTTATTGCTGTTATTATTTTCAGTATTTAGTGGTAAAGACTAGAGAATCTAGTTTTTTTAAGCCAAGCGCTTGAATTCTTTCATTCCAAGCTTTTATTGCTAGTCTTAGTTGTTTTACTAGTCCTGAATGCAGGACATTGAGATGAACTTTTATGAAAGATTTTTCTTGCTGAGCTCGTTGTAGAATTTATTCATTATTTTTATTTTAGAAGATGATGGTAACCGAGAAATTATTCTGTGCGGATGCCGACACAGCTCTATATCTAGATGCCGTGGTACCGAGGGGTACCGAGCGTCAGTACCGAGCAGTACCAAGCCGCAGTACATTAAAAGAGTAACGTGATTCATTTTTATTATTTGTTATATCTTGTTATACTTATTTAATTACACTCTCTGAAAACATTAGTATTTCTAATTTATCCCAACTTTTTAGATCTGTTCGGATAAGTCCTATTTTAATTAGGTTTTTGTTGTGATGATTTATGCTTACACCATTTTTTTGTGAAAATTCTGGATTTCTTAATGTGAAAGAAAAGAATGTTTTGGATCACCTTATTTCAGTCTAGTCTAAGATAATAATTGCTCTGTAGGGTGCAAATTGAAATATCAAATTCATAATAACATAAGATCTTAGATTGCACAAGAGGATTAGCCTACCCTTTTCATCATTGAATTTCTTCTCGCTTGGAACATTTATTGAAATGATTTAACTTATTTTACAATATCAGAATTAGTCCCTCTTTAATTAATTCTCACTTTTGTACATCAACTTTTTTTTTTCTTTTAAATTTTGGTTGCTAATGTTGTTTATGCTCTTACCGTGTACCAGGTTACCAACATGTCCTTTTAGTAGAATTTCAGCAACTGAAAGTACTTATTTATTGTTTCTTGTAGCATATTTGATAGAATGGAGAAAAAATTAGGAATGTCTCTGTGGATTCTGTTGTTTCTTTTTATCTGGTCCTTTCCTGGGAATGCTGCTCAACCACATACTGACAGAACAATTAAAGTTAGAGGGGATTTCATAGTGGCTACAACAAATGATAATTATATCTGTGCTACTCTTGATTGGTGGCCAGCTGAGAAGTGTAACTATAATCAGTGTCCATGGGGAGACTCATCTGTATTAAATCTGGTAAGAGCCATTTCCATTTGTTCAGAAAACTTTCAGTTTTGAGAAGCTGGACCAGCCTCTTTCTGAAATTAGATAGTTTTAATTCCTCTTTTTTCCATTTTTCAGGACATAAACCATCCTTTTCTAGCCTCAGCTATAAAAGGTAGTCTTTTGAGAGCACCAAATGCTTTCTCTTAATAATAGTCAAGTCACATGTATTCGTCTCTGTATACTTGTTCTATCCCTGTCAATGCTTCTATACAGATCCTTCCACCCAATTATGAAAGAGGGGAAAACAACCATTCTAAGGCTTCGTTTGAGACGGCTTTTTTGTTGCTTCTTAAAGCAGTTTTTTAGTACAAAAATTAAAATTTTAATGTTAGAAAGCTGCTTTAAGAAGCAACAAGAAAGTTATCCCAAACGAAACCTAAATCTTTTTCTTGGTGAAATTTTTATCTTTTGTTTCGCATCTTTCACTTTGTGCTTTGCTCCAGTCTATATCAATTGCACTGCAGCTCTTCATGAATTATTGTTTTAGAACTACATTTAAATATTGTTAGAAATAATAATGTTGTTGGATTTCTAAGCTAATTTTTTTGGGGGGTTTTATTTGTTGATTTATAGCCTTCACCCGATTGAGGATAAGGATTGGGGGTACTTTGCAAGACCGAGTTGTGTATGGTATGCCAAACCTGGGCTATCCATGCCTCCCATTTGTAAAGATGGTTGATGGACTGTTTGGCTTCTCCAAAGGTTGTTTAAGCCTGAAAAGATGGAATGAACTTAACACTCTGTTCCAACAGACTGGGTAATTTAATGCTTTACTTATTACTTTTCTTTGTTCAATAATGAATTCACTATTTGGCATAATTGAAATATATTACTGTTCATACCTGAATAATGCTCTGGAATCTGCTTTTCATCATTGAGAAAAGGGCTAAAGTGCTTCCTTACTATCCTAAAGTGTAGTAAGTTCAAAAACTTATTTTCTGTTATTCATCATTGAGAAAATCTTTTTGTAATAGGAATTTAGAGAGGAGAAAAATAAGTTTCTAGGAGGATCATTGCAAGGAGATAGCATAATTGGGGAAGTGGGAAGCATGATGATAAGGCTTGGTTCGCAAGAGTGAACTGAAAGAGCGTTCAACCAGGTGGTGCCATGGTGGGTTTTTGCCCACTTGCCCAGCCCGTGTGAGTTAACAAGAGGAATTGCCTGTTGGTTGAGAAAAACTTAAAATAATCCTCAACTATTTGTGTGTAATCAATCTAATCCTAGAGTATCACATTTCTCCTATTTAATCCTTGTCTGTTAAAAAATGATCCCAAAATGGACCCTTAGGCAGAATTAACAGAAATTGGAATACAAAATTGATTCCAATTTAGTCCCTTGACCAAACAAAATTGATCTCAATTTAATCCCGGGGTGCCTTTTGGGATCAATTTTTGTATTCTTGAGGAATTAAAGTGGAGAAATATGATATTTTGAATTAAATTAGCCGCATTCATATTATCAATTGACTATTTTGAGCTTTTTGTTTTTTCTTATCAAATATTTATGAACTCTTTCTAGCTCCTATAGCAACATCTTCCAAGATGTAATATATTTATAAGGCTATTAGTGCCAGGGAGCTTGTCCGAGCTTTGGACAGTGCAGGGGACTGTTGTATATTTTCTAGTGACAAATGGATTGCCAGAGACTATGTATCATCAATTCTATTGTATTCTTGCGAAATTTTGCATAATCAGGTAATGAATTCAGAGCCATGACTAGAAAACCAGTAGAAAACCAACTAGTTCTATCGTGGCTTTTCTTTTTTCTATTGCTGAAGTTCTTTAATTGAAGTATAGCAACCATTATTATTATATTAACATAGTTATTAGTAGGGAAAATGGCGTTCACTTTAAAGTTAACATACTGAAATGAGTATGATTTAATACTTTTGAAACTGTAGAGGATGGTTAATAGACTTCCTTGATACAGAGCAGTTGTAACATTTGGCCTTAATGCACTCCGTGGGCGACATAATATACGCCATGGCGTATGGGGAGGTGCCTGGAATTTGACCAATGCTCGTGATTTCATAGGATACACCATTTCAAAAGGATTTCCTGTTGATTCATGGGAATTTGGTAATTCATGTTACTATTTCATAGCATGTCCATGTGTTTAAGGCTTTGTTTGGGACGGCTTTCTTATTGCTTCGTAAAACAACTTCTTAGTATAAAAGTTAAAAACTTTGTATTAAAAAGCTGCTTTAAGAAGCAGTAAGAAAGTCGTCCAAACAAAACCTAAATGTATCGTCTATTGGTAATCTGTTGCACCTATATGTTGCTATTAGGAAATGAGTTGAGTGGACAAGGAGTTGGTGCATGTGTTGATGCCGAGGTTTATGGACAAGACCTGATTGGCCTTAAAGCTGTTATTGATGAGTTGTACCATAATTCAACCTCCAAACCACTGTTACTTGCTCCAGGAGGCTTCTTTGATAAACAATGGTATACTCAATTGCTTCAGACTTCGGGGCCTGGTGTTGTTGATGGCATCACACATCATATATACAATCTCGGGCGAGGTGCGTATCTTGATATGGCCTGTTGATTGAAATTTAACTTTGTCCTGTTGATCGAAATTTAACTTTGTGACAAGATTGTTATTTTTTGCATATTCATGTCTTTTACTTTTTTTCCTTTTTAAAGATGGATGGGACAACAACTATGATAGGAAGTACTTGTAGATCTCAAATATTTACTATCAATCTTCAGAAAACAGCAAGCTTTCTCTACCAAAATCCACACAAAACTACAAAAACAGTAGATAATTTGTATTATTTGATAAAAGGGAAATGGAAAATAACAAGATACAATTGATCCTCTATTCAAGAGGAGGATTGATCTCTCCCAAATCTCTAGACGCCGCTAGAGCCCAATGAAAACCTAAATCTAAAAGATCTCGAATTTCAGCCAAATTCAAAATGCCCTAACCCTAGGAAAACAAATTATTTAATGCATACAAATCAAAAGGAAACCCCTAAACAGTCCCTACATTCAAATTTCCCTCCCAAAACCCTAAAAATCCTTCCTAAAATTCTCGTTTGGCTCATGCGGACCAATCGGCTGCCTCGGTTTCGCTGAGCCGGTCCCGCGTGGAACGGATGGACTGGTCCAATGGACCAGTCTAACAAACTACTTACTAGGAGAGAAAGCAAAAAAATCAGCTATATTTTCTTCCAATTGTTTTCCTAGGGTTATGCAGCAATCTGCTAATGTGATAATGTAACCGTAAAATCCATAAGAATCACCATCCTTGTATTTGATGCAAAAGTTTCCATGGAAAGTCATTTTGGTTGAACCTTTCTATTCTCCAATAATTACATCCGTGAATTGTTAAATTCAATTTGACATGCCTTTCAATAAGTAGAATGCTACCAAAACTCACTGAGATATTTGCTATTTTCTAATGGAGTTAACTAGTTAAATATTGTGCATTTACTTTCCCACTTCAGATTTTTTTTCTCCATTTCCTTCTTTTACTTTTTACATTGGCCATCTTACTTTGATGGGTCTCTCTATTAGCTTCATTTCCTACTCTTATATTTTACATTTGCCATTATACGTTAACATAAGGCTTCGTTTGGGATGGCTTTCTTATTGCTTCTTAAAACGGCTTTTTAATATAAAATTTTTATTTTTTTATTAAAAAGCTGCTTTAAGAAGCAAAAAGAAAGCCATCCCAAACAAAGCCTTGGGACGGCTTTTTTGCTACTTCTTGAAGTAAATTTTAGTAAAAAAAATTAAAATTTATAGTAGAAAGCTGCTTAAAGAAGCAACAAGAAAGCCGTCCAAACGAAGCCTTAGTCTATTAGACTTCTCTATTGTATTCATTTTGTAATAAAATTGTGATTCAGGTATTTGGATCAGCTAGGAATGGCATCTAAATTCAACACCAAGACTTACTGCAGACAAAGTTTAGTTGGTGGGAACTATGGTCTCCTTGATACCGAGACATTTATACCAAATCCTGACTACTACAGGTTAGGGAGTACATTCAGCTTCTTTCTCTATGACAGATGAGTCCTGAACCAATATGCTTTAATATTATCTTACTTGATCTAAGCAGTGCACTGTTGTGGCATCGGCTTATGGGGAAGGTAGTTCTTTCTGTGGATAACAATGGGTCTTCCTTCCTACGTGCTTATGCTCACTGTGCCAAAGAAAAGGTTAGCAACATTTGACAAATTCGTTCTCTTACTTTGAAGTTAATATCTTTTCAAGTTAATTTGATGAGCTCTTTTACTGATAAAGCTTTTTGGTAAATTGGTATCTTCCTGGTATTCATTAATATCCATGTAAAATAATAGTCCTTGATAGAAAAGGAAATTCTAATGTACTTTTGGGAAAGGGTTCTTATTGCTGTTCCATATGTCAATATGATAATGATTGTGGAGTTTTGCAGCTCTAATATGTGGCAAATCATTACGTGCGGCGTCCGGATTCGTCCGGAGGCGAATCCGGACGCACCACGTCACCCCGACCCCGGTGAATCCGGGTGATGTGGTGCGTCCGGATTCGCCTCCGGACGGTCCGGACACCGCACGTAATAATTTGCCCTAATCTGTTAGGTATTAAACTTAATGATGGGTTTCCTTTATTAAAAAAAATTTAGGCAGCTAAATCATACACTGAAATCTTCAAAATATCCCTAATGAAACAGTTAAATCCTCAACTACATCAAAATGATTTAGGAGGATTTATGTCCAAAAAAACATAAAATCTCAGACCTTTTTGTTCTTATTGAGTTATCTTTCAATCACATTACTATAAACTTCATTTCAGGCTGGAGTATCTTTGGTCCTAATCAACTTGAACAACACTGAGTTCAGAATCACAGTCCAAAAGGTGATGAAAAACAAAATGAACGAGGATTATGAAACTAAGAATAATGGCTCTCTTTCTGATGGTTTGAAGAAGAAGGCTTACTTGATTGGAATGGAAGCACCCTCCAGCTCAATCAAGCGAGAAGAGTATCATCTAACAGCAAAAGATGGTAACCATAGAAGTAGAACAATGTTGCTAAATGGAAGAACTCTGGAACTTTCTGAAGATGGACAAATTCCAGATTTAGTTCCTTCCTATGTATACAGCAATTCGCCAATTATAGTAGCTCCTCTCTCCATTGTATTTGTTGTGATTCCAAACTTTGATGCTGAAGCTTGTTCATAACAACATATATATAGTTCCTGCCATGTACCTTCTGATGCCAAAGAGAGCTCTATCTATGTAACAATCTAATTTTATGTTTAAATCACAAATTGCTCTAAGATTAAGTAATATTGTGGTGTAGACACATCAAGTTGTGATGTCATTTTTTTGAGAAGAAGCTGGTCTTTAAACGCCTGCTGTATGTTATGTCATTTTGAAGGAGAATGTGAATTTATATGCAACGGATTTTGACTTTTAATGATTTATATAATATATTAGATATTAACTAGGGCGAAATATATATATATATATATATATTAGTCAAACAAAGAGATAGGAGTAGTAATAATTTAGTTCAAGTGAATTGTAGTAAGGATGAAGATAAAAAAAATGTGTTTATTAGAAGAGAATATTCAAAGATGGATGAGATATTTTGCTAAAATTTACAATGAAGATTATGTGAATATGTTTGGGTTTAGTTTCCTTAGCACTCTAAATACCCTAAATGAAAATAAAGATTTGTTTTTTTATCGGCGTATTAGTAAAATAAAAGTTAGAGAGGCTTTAAAGAAAATAAAGTGTGAAAAAACTGTTTAACCTGATGATATTCCAATAAAGGTGTGAAAAAGCTTAGGAAATGAATGAATTTCTTAGCTTACTAAACTTTTTAATATTATTTTGAAAACTAAAAAGATGCTAGATGAGTGGAGAATGATTAAGTTAATTCTTATTTTTAAGAATAAAGTTAATGCACAAAATTGAGCGAATTATAGAGAAATTAAGTTAATGTGTCATACTTCACAACTATGGGAGAAAGTTATTGAGCATAGGTTACGGCGCGATACTAATATTTCTCAAAATCAATTTGGATTCTTGTCGGGTAGGTCTATATGGAAGTTATATATTTATTGAGAGGTTTAATGGAAAAGTATAAAAAGAATAAGGAGGATCTACAAATGATATTTATTGATTTAGAGAAATCATATGATAAAGATTCCAAAGAAGTGCTATGGAGAGTTCTAGAAAAGAAAAGAGTTAATAATGCTTATATTCAAGTCACTAAGAATATGTATGTTGGAGTTATTATTTGTGTTCAAACACAAGATGATTTGATAAAGTATTTTCCTATTTTTGTTGGATTACATCAAGGATAAGCCTTAAGCCCGTATCTTTTTTGCTTTAATCATGGATGTTCTCAATAGACATTTGCAAGAGGTTGTTCCCTAATGTATGTTTTTTTGTTGATGAAATTTTCTAGTTGATAAGACTAGAAAGGGAACTAAATGTAAACTTGAATTATGGAAATCAACCTTAGAGTCTAAAGATTTTCGTTTGAGTAGACCTAAAACCGAATATATGGAGTATAATTTTAATAGTAATATATCTAGTTGGGGGCTGGGATTGTGACTTTGGGCGATCAAGTTATTAATAAGATAACACGTTTTAGATATATTGAGTCTATTGTTCAGAGAGATGGTGAAATAGTTGGGGATGTTATTAGTATAATTCAAGTTGGTTGGTTTAAATGGAGGAATGCATCGGGCTTGTTGTGTGATAGAAAATTCACCCTCAAACTTAAGAGAAAATTCAATAAGATGGTGGTGAGACTTGCAATGCTTTATGGTCCAGAATGTTGGCTATTAAAAAAGAAGCATAATATTAAGTATTGCTGAGATGAGGATGCTCATATGGATGAGTGGTTTTACTTTTAGAGACATGAAACGAAACAATCATATATGTGAAAAGGTTAGAGTAGCTCCAATGGATGATAAGATTAGAGAGAATCGCCTTAGATGATTTGGTCACATAAACCGATGGCTTTCCGATGACCCGGTTATGAGAGTAGATGTATTAGATTTAGCTTATGTTAAGAAAGATAGATGTAAAATTAAAAAGATTTGATTATAAAATATTAGAAGTGACAACTTCTTTATTAGATTTAAATGAGAATTTGACTCTTAACAAGACACAATGAAGAAAAAGGATTCATGTAGCCGACCTCATGTAGTGGAATAAATGCTTGATGTTATTGTTATTGCTGGATAAATACGTCTTTCTATACATATGTTTTGATGTCATTTAGGCATTATAGTGTTGCATAAGTAATCATAAATATTTTATATTTATGTATTAGATATGTAAATAATTATGAATACATGCATGTAAATCTCCTATTTAAAAGGACAAACAAGGCAAAAGTTATTGACTAAACTATAATTTGACCGTATAGTAAGTTGTTTAGAGTATAGCTTTTAGAAGTTCTGAAATTATTTTGAAAAGTTTCTTAGTTTTTAAAATAAGGAATTTTTTTAATTTGGGAAATTCTATTTTATATGCCTCATAAAATACATAAATGACTAAATATTATTATTCCGTCTTTATGCAAATAAATATATCTGAAAGTTTAATTTTATGAAATTATCTTCAATGAAGAATATTGATTTGTAAGTCATCTGAAATCGGTTTGAATTTGTTGAAGCTTTTTTATGTTACATGCTACAAGTCTCATCCATGCTTGCTCGCTGTGCAATCCATCATAATCTCCTCTTCTTCATAGGCCATTATCTGTTGTTGTGTCCTCAAAGACTCTCGTCATGAACTTCTTTATATGTCATAGATTGGTTGGTGCTTGCCCCTAGCAACTCTCATCACAAGCTCCTCTCTTTCGCATATCAGTACTCCATCGATGCCAATGCTGATCCTAGTGAGCCCCCATCATAACTTTGCCAATCGAATTTGAATTCAAACCAGTTCAAATTTGTTTCCAAATATTTATAAGTCCAATAAACAGTAAAAGAACACCAGATTGCTCCTAATTGGAGATAATTTTATCTAAAATAAAATTTTAAATAAATATATGGTAGATTTATTTGGCCAGTTGCAATGATATGAGCCATATAAGATCAAAATTCTATTTTATTACTTATTGTATTTTTTTCATCATTGGAGGGTTTGAATTTTGATTTAGGGTTTAGGGCCAACGTAAAGGTGAGCATAATTTTACCATTTATGCCATTCCGTTCAATAAAATCGTTGCCATTACTGAAATGTTTATTATATATACTTTAATTGAAACTCAACATCGTTGGGGATGTAGCTCAGATGGTAGAGCGCTCGCTTAGCATGCGAGAGGTACGGGGATCGATACCCCGCATCTCCATATTTCCCTTGTTTACGATATTCAGTTTTTCGCTTCCTCTTTTTAATGAGGAAATAATTGGAAGAATTAACTGCAAGCATTGATGGACTCATTTGGGCTCATTTTTTCAGCTATTTTTCTTTTTAATATAAAAATTGATGTCTAATTTTATTATTTTGATTGTTGATGTTCTTTAATTTTAAATTTCTTTAAATTAATATTTTAATAAAAAGAACCTAATAAAAACACGAGGATTTAACGTGAAAAAATTCTAAACTGAAAAAAATCATGGAGTCATATCACACCAAGAAATCTATTATGATAACTTCAGAAAAATGATTTATACCTCACTTCTTTCTCACTCTCTCCTTACTTCTCTTCCCTCTTGTACCGTTCTAAATTTAGAATTAACCAAGAGATTTTATACAACAACCAAAGAACGAAATCCTTAATGAAAAATAAGAAAGAAAATTGCCCTGTCGGCTTCGCAGTGCTGTGACGCTAAGTTGGAGCGCCGCGATGCTCCCACTCTCTAATTCTAGCCTACACGACAGCACCGGGTTTGGAGCGGCGCAACGCTGAGGTGTGTAGCGCCCAACACTCCGCTTCTCTGTCTTTTTTCATCTAACTATACAGCACCATGGCGCTCATATATACATCATTGAAGGAGCTATACATAAAAAAAAAAAAGTGTAGAGGTACCCTCTGCAACCTCCTAGGGAGGTCAACAGGCTGAATTGAGGTCTGACAACAATACAATCCAATTGATCAACAAATTCAGATTCCACACATAACCAACAAGATAAATTAGTCAAGATTTTATGTTTATGAAGGATATTTATTCATATTTTGAGTGGATCTTACTAAGGGAAAGTTTGATTTTAGAATTATATCAATCTCCCACTTAAAGATAATTTTTTGTGTATTTATATTGTAAATCACGTATCTAAATACCAATGTATCTGCTCGTAATCATAAATGTCGAATTGGACGATATCATTGTAGCTCTTTCATTCTGAATTTGTTTCGGGTCTTTGATTTAAACTATTTTGGGCTCAAATTGAGTTGAATTTGGTGTTGTTGGGTTCGTATTTCCGAGACGCTCAGTTTGATTGTAAGTTCGCTAAAGTCGGAGACTCGGAGTTCAGATGGTCCGAAATTAAATTTTTGAAGCTTCCAGCCTGATTTTGCCTCGAGATTCATGCCTGATCAAGATAATTTTTTGATGATATATCAACAATTATTTTAATTTTTAATAAAAAGAAGTTTGTTGCGGGCTAGAATACATGCGGCGATAGAGTTAAAATTTTTCATCTCAGCGTTATACGGATATTCAACACATAAACATAAGAAAAATAAAACACAAGAATTTTTACGTGGAAAACCCAGGAAAGGGGAAAAACCCATGGGGCCTTGCCCAGCTGAAAAGATTCCACTAATGTTTGATTGGAGTACAAATAACTGATTCGTCACTAAAACTTAGGATAATCAAATTACAATAATCAACTCTCGGGTTGAAATGCAATTACAAACAAGGATCGGAGATCTAACGACGTTAAGTGGTCGAGCGGAATTCCTGAGTCTCTTGAAGGTCGGACAGAATTTCAATGTCGCTTGGAGATTGGGCAAAATTCTAACGTCACTTAGAAGTCGGGCAGAATTATGGCGTCGCTTGGAGTGCGGGTGGAACTCCAACATCACTTGAAGGTCTGACGGAACTCCGTCGTCACTTAGAGTTTAGGTGGAACTCCAACTTCACTTGGAGGTCGAATGGAACTCCAGCGTCACTTGGAGATCGGATAGAACTTCGGCATGGAGGTCGGATGGAACTCTGGTGGTGGTCGAGGAGGAGCTTCTTCCTTCATTTTTCTTCTTCTTCTTGCTTGGGTCCCCTATTAAGAGAAATGAGGGGCAATTTATAGTTCTCTGAGGATGACATGGCCAGTAAATAGGAGGAAGATTATGGGTAAATTGGGAGTGGTTTGAATGAAAGGCTGACGTTGATCCCTTAATCGTGGACCGTTTATCAAGCACTTGAAGGCTCTAATGATATTAG